ATTTCAGGAGACCTATTCGAAGTTCAAGGATAAATTCGAGAAGATGCCTGAAACGTTGGGAGCGAATTTGGAGGATCGATTGAAGGAGATCGAGAAAGAGCTGAGCGGTCTTGGTAAGGATGCGTTGGCAAATATCAAAGATGCCTTCGAAAATCCACATGATCAGTCGACAATCGAACGAGAGCAGATTGTAGTGGAACGTTCTGAAGCCGACAAGAAACGTGTGATGAGCGCGTTTGTGAAGGTGAAATCCTCATTTAAATTCCGATAGTTTGCTGAAGCAATACTTGCCGAAATATCGTACAGACAAACCGGTAACCTTGATTAACAGTTAAAAAGAAAATCAAATTCTATCCTGAAAGGTGATAAACCTTCATCAGTGGTGATGAAAGTTCATTCGATCATTCGTGGCTTCGTTCGCCGACGGATTGAGTTGTTCACCATCTCCCTAACGCAAATCCTTTTACGCCTAGAAAACTGCATCATTCCCATACGGTTATTAACTTAAACGCAAATCATTTTATTGACGGCGCTACAGTCTGACGGTTCATGAACTTTAAAAAGTGATTCGAAACAGAGGAAATTGCAGCCAGAGCTGACCGCTGAAGAAGCACCACGTGAATGCGTGGTTTGTTCGAAGATCGTCTATCCCGTCGAGCGTGTATTTGCAAACAAACGTATCTACCATAGCACCTGCTTCAAATGCTCTAAATGTGCTAAGAAATTAACGTTTGTGCNTTCTATATGTTAGCGATTGATTTCATTCTCTTTCATGGAGGACACATTGCGAGTTGATGCAAATTACTTTATTGATGAACTCGTTACGTGAATATAAGGATATGTTTGTTTTGGATCATTTGAGAGAATGTTTCTATTCGATCAGTGCATAACAATTTCATTATCGTTTTACTGCTGCTGCTGCTACGTATACCATGAACAGTCCATAATATTCATAACTATCGTATCTTGCAATTATCAATATTCCGGAAGGGTTTTATTTCCATCTCCCGTATAGTGGACTTGTAAGATCTTGATCTTTCAATATCTAAAATTATGCCATCAATATCTGCGACTTATGCATTTCAGGCCAACAAATTACAATTCTCATGAAGGTCAATTGCTCTGTAAAGTGCACTATATGGAGGTATTCCATCCAGAACTCGCCAGAACTATGGATCCTAGCACAACAGAAGGTGCGTTAGAAAACACTGATGCATTCTGGGAAAACTAGTGCATTTTCCACATACTATATTGTCAGAACAGGATAATCGACTAAAATGAAGCTTTTGAGGCGATCTCAATAAATGCGATACGAATCGCTCTGAATGGCAGTGAAATAAACCACTGTCGTTTCTAAAACGATTTCCAAAAGTTGTATGAAACACTCACAATTCATGAACATATTATTCAATTTTGATATACGTAGATATTGTTTAAGATTGTT